GGTGCAAATTGCAGTGCCAGGGTATGACCCATGCTGGCAGAGGAAGTGGACTTGGTACCTGGGGTGCTGTGCCAGCTGTGGGTGTAGCAGCTTCCTGCAGAAGAGGGGTGGAGAGGCCGTCCGAGTGTGGCTGTGTGCTAGACTGGTGCATCTGCCTCTCCCGTGAGTCACAGCTCAGTCATACGGTTCTCAACCTGGTCAAACAAGACACTCCTGGCTGGCACACGAAATCCTGGTGTCAGCTTCCTCTCTCCTCCCCCCTTCCCAGCCTAGGTTTCAACAGGCTTTTTGGTACAAAAGAGACGTGGTTATGCCCACCTGCCAGCTAACTCGATTTCTTTTGATTGCACTGTAAAAAGAAGAGTTCGCTCCACTTATCAAACGTTTGTACTTAGGTTATAGTGTCAGGCTTGGGCAGATTAATTGGTTGTAGCTTTAGCAGAGCTGTCAGGGTATTTAACCCATTGAAGAAAAATTACCTAAGCTGATGATAAACAGGCTTTAAATGCAGAGCAATTACTTAGTGCTAACAAAGCACCATGACTACATACTTTGTCCAAATGCAAAAAGCAAAGTCTTATCAGTGGTTCTGTTTGCAGGAGGACACTAAAAGATAACCTTTATTTGTGCAAATACTTACCTGATAAGATCATCCAAAAGCGAAGAGATGAAATTTCTGGTTCAATCTTGCCTGAAGGTTGTGCTTCAGATGACAAAGTATCAAACGAAAAAGAATGGTAATCACAAACTAAGAATGTCCAGTTCTCTCTTTTAGTTGATCTGAAAGTCTCCAATGGTGGGTTTCTTTCCTGCTTGCATTGATTACTTTTATTTCTAGCACATAACAGTAAAGCAGTTTAGAGACCTTTAACCAGTAGGACTTTGGATTTCATTGTAAACAGGAACTGGCAAAGCTAGAGGGCTGGTTAGCATTGAACTTGGTTTGTTCATTGCAAGCTTAACCCTGACTGGTGGCCAGGGTTTACAGCACAGCAATCTTGTGAGTCACAACTGTTCTGTTTTGCATCGATGGCGGAACTGGTCGGGGAGTTTCCAAACTGTGAAAGCTTAGGAGGTGCTTTTAGTGGGATGTGCAGTTGATACCATTTGCCTCTCAAGGCTCACAGGTCACATTCTGAAGCAGCAGAGGTTTGAGTTTTTATTGTGATGAGTCTTAGCATATTGGGTTTGACCTCTGTCTAGCTCACTCCAGTTTTTTCTGTGTTAAGATTTGACTGAAAGGACACTGTTTACTGAATGCTTTCAGTTGACCAACTTTAAAAAAACAATCCAGTTAGTTGTAGCACGTCGATCAAAAGATTTACAAAACTGACATCTTTTATTTTGTTTTCAAATAAATTACCAGAGATTTCCCATTTGGTGTTTGTAAAGGACCTTTATATCAAGGAAAAAATAACATGCAAGCACATGCTTTGGTCTTTTTGGATTAAGGCCTTGGATTAACCCAAGAATACTCAGAGCTGCATCTCATGTAGAAAGCAAATATGTATTTTCTAGTGAAATGTTTCAAAGTGCAGTTGTCTTGGCCTACTTTGTGGTCTCTGTCAGATTTTTAGACATGAATGTGATTTTAGGTTGATTTGGGTGCTGTGTACTTTGTCTGGATGCTAATGCAATGTCACGATGTTTGTGTGAGCCCCATCTTGCCTGCTGTACTTCACTGACTCTTTGGATTCCTTTGGCCAGTTTCAGTTGCAGTTGACAGAGGGATGGAGATGGCAAAGACATTATGTTCCTACTGGTTGCATGAGGGGAAGTGTCTGGGTCGAAAAACAAAGGGCTCTGAATTAGTCTTGTGTGCTTCCTCCTGAAAAAGACTTCATATAAGCCATCACCTCCTTAGGCTCAGAGAACCTCTGGACAAGCAAGCCACTGGACATCATTCATTTTCTTGCTCACTGGACTACTTGGTCTGTGTTGATTTCCTGCCCCAACTGATTTGCTTGCATTTTATGATGAGTTCTTTTGAAAATGTTTTTTGAGTTTGATATTCTGCTGCCTCTTATTTTCTTGTTGCCACCCACTAGAGGCTGACAAAACTGTCAATAAACATGCGTTTTTGGGAATTGTCTTTACAAGTCACGTTCAAGTAGCTGTTGAGCTTCCAAATGGTACTAACAGAAGTTTTCTTGGAGGAGATCTTAATTGCAGACATGCAGCACAACAAGATGTGGTTTTGAAAGAGCCGCTCAGCTCACCACAGGTGTGGTGACTGTGCATAATCTATATTTTAAATGACAGGGACTGAGCTGCCTGCTTTTAGGGGATTTCGGTGGTTTCCCACTCATGAAGCTGTGAGCTCTTCACCTTTTGCACCTCCACATGTATTGGGACCGTACAGGAACTGGTCCAGTGGCTTCATAACCAGTTTTGTGAATGCTGTTGTACATGCAGGCTCTGGCTGCTCAGCTGTTTTTCTGTGACCCACCACAACCAAATTGGGATTTTGCGAGTCAATAGGACTGCAAATCTGAAGCTGGACCGGCCTTACTTACTGAGGGGTTTTTAATGCCTCAGTTTCCATAGCAATGGAAACAAGCACTCCTCTCACATGGATGCTGGGTATCTGTATGTATAGATGTGTCTTGCATAAGACTGGGAGGGTAGTTCAGTGCCTACTTCTTTTCCTGGAAATAGATTTAGAAGGGGAGGAGTGTTGGATGTTGGCACTGCAGAGCTGCTGCTGCAGACTAATGTATCTCAGGCAGGGGCACAGATACAGGGAGAGGATGACTGTCACCAGGGCCTGTGTTGGCTGAGACCCCCCCTGACAAAGGAAGTCCCTTGATCATGAGTTTGCTTTTCATCTGCACACTTTTTATGAGGGGTTAGAACTTGCAGGAAATAAAATGCAGTCCTTGAACAGGGGAACGTGATGTTAGTCATCGATATTGGTCGTTGACAGTTTCTGCCTTATGGGCTATTCAGGCTATTTCCTGAAAAAGCAAATCTTTCATTAGCTAATTATTTTCTTTAGCAGTGCTGTAAGGGCATCAGCAAAAAACAGTTACTGGCAAAGCTACTGCACTGTTTAGTGCCTGCTTGTGTGATCAGGGGAGAATGATGGGGAAATTTTAATGACAAATTCTGTCAGAGCTGAAAAATACTAATGGCTTCAAGTTGAAATTCAGAGTTGACTCCTTAGCAATCAATTTTAATAAATCTCCTATGTGCAAATGAGGAATCTGAATGTCATATGTTATCTGATATCTGGATTTTAACTGTTTTCTAGTGTCTTTGACATTGTGCCGAATGTATTATGAAGGTGCCACTGAAGCATGTTTACCTGTAGTAGGAGCAATGGTATATACCCTGCAGAACTAAAAAGGGAAAATGCAGTATCCCAATGAGACTGCAGCTGAGAATTACGTGGGTAGAGCAGACATGCTTGGAGAGTCAGGAGGAGCAAGGGCATGGTCCTGCTCCAGAAGAGTGCTGTAAGATTGGTGGTGCCCAGTCGTCAGTGCCTGCCTTGCAGGACTCTTTCTCTCCCACCCCAATAAAGCTTAGATTTTCATCTAAAGTACAAAAGGAGTGTGAGACTTTGTACCACTCACCTTAACGGTGAAAAGTCCTAGTCCCCCTAAGACAGCTTTGAAAGCATCAGTTTAAGATACTTGTTTAAGACAACTAAGAATAGAATGAACTGTGGTGCTTCCATTATTTCTTAGATTCAGTGTTCTGTCAAAGATTGTAGTTCGTACTGTTATCCCTGTTATTCTATGTTTTAGCTAATTATGTTGCCACAGCTTCTAAAATGTCTTTTTTGAATTCCTCTGTACTTTCTCAGTAGTCTCGTAGCATGATCATATAGGCCTTTCAAGTATGTGGTTTCTTGGACATGCCCAGTGGTCTTTCTGTTCACTGCCATTCAGTTCTACCATTACAAACTAGTCTTTTCCAGAGCTTTATTCATGCGTTTAATAATACCAAGAATTTTGTTTCTGTATTGCATTAAAACCACATGATTGTAATGTAAGAACTGAGTCCACAATTTACTCTCTAAGCAACATCTAGTGTAAAGTAGTTACACCTCTTGAGTTATTCGGTTGCTTTTTTGCAAGAGCGATGTGATTCTCTGTTCCACATGATACATTAGTGTGGTGTTATATTCTGACTGGAAAATAAAGCTGGTTGACTGGTTGTTTCTCTGTGTGTGCACATGAAGATAGACATTTTAGCTAGACACACTTTTTCTCTTCCTGACATCTTCATGGCAGATCCATAGGTTTTCATAAACTTTTCTTGCTAATATCTACTTACCTTTACAAGGTCCATTTTTCTCTGTAGTGTTGCTTTAATCCAGTTTTTCATCTTATTGCAAGACACTCTAATTAGGACATCTCTGTTCAGGTTTCTGTAATTTAGCTTTACTGAACAGGTTTGCCAATTGATAATCAATAGTCTTGCCTGAAACCTTGGTTTATGTAAGGAAAATATACCTTTCTCAAATAAGTCATTATAAAGTCTATACCAGTACATTTATTTCTGTATGCAAAAAGGAATTGATACTAACAACTTTATGTTGGAAGAACAGTATCTGCATGACATTTTCCCCAATATAATTATTTCAGTTACAAAACCATAAATCACGGCTTTCTAGGAGACCAGCAATCTTGTACTAAAAACCATAGAAATACTACAGATATGTAGTTTGGGTTATTTAGTTTTGTTAGTAGGTTAGTTGTTTAAAGAAACACCTCTGTGCTCAGGGTGAGCTTTCAGTGGCTGTAAGGTTGTGGTACATGCTTACCTGACAGTTGGAGAATGACACTGGCATAGCATTTGTTCTTGTTGTGGAATTGCTATGCCCATGAGGAATGCTGTAAATGTAGCTGGTGCTTACAGGATGACATAATTCCAGTTTCTGACAAGCCCTTCCTCTCACATTGTTGTTCTGCAGTCTTTTGGTGAGGAGAGGGAATCTTTTGAGTTTCGTGGTCAAAAACGTATGACACATCCATTTTTCTCTTTTCCAGGATTTTTCCCAGAGAGTATCTGCTCCAGCAAATCCATCTTTATTCTCTTGCAGACCTTCAGCAGGTAAGTTTCTTCAACTAATTCTACCTGTTACACATCAAGCCTGTTTTCATCTTCAGTGCTAATTGTACATTCCCCCTTCTAGCTAATCATAGCATAAATAGCTTTACTTCCAAACCACCTCTGTGGTTTGTAGTTTAATATAAAATGGGTTAGCGGGGCATTGGTTAGGGATGAGAGAGTGAAAGTGTAGAGGGTCAGTGTTGAAATGGGCTGGAAAAGGCTGGGAAAGAAAACCGTAGTCTGTAAAGAGAACTTTGCTGTGAGGTTTTTCATCTGATCAGTGAAGGCTCATTTAAGGTTCAGCCTGCAGGTAACAAGTCCAATTTATCTCTTTGTTTGAAAGAACAGTTGTTCAGGGATTGATGAGTTTGTACAGTCGCTAGCACAACATGCTTATGTACAAAGTCTGCTAGGCATTACCACAAGAGAGGAAAAAAAATAATAAAAAAACCCCAAACCACAAAACTTCAGCAAGGCTGCTACACAGAGTTAAGCCGTGCAGTGTTACTGTGACAGACATGGCCACAAAAGAGGTAACGTGCCAGCAAAATGTGTCTTTGCATTGTTATTTATAGAACTAAGTGAGTACTTTTGTAGTATGTCAGCCTAAAGAGCAGAATTTCATTACCTTCTGGATTAAACAAGAAGAATTTGGCAAAAAGAAGCTGAAGAGAGAGAAAAGTGCATCTAAGATGAATGTGCTGCAGTGCTCAGATGCACAACAGGGGAAGCAATGAGGCAAGATGCGCTAGCTGACCTGAGCACATCTGTGTTCACACTCTAATGCCATTGCTGGTGATATGTAAACCCATTATTTTAAGCTTCTTCCACTGATGTTTCCCTTGTCTAGTGGCACCTTTTCTGCAAGGTAATGGGTAGCACAGTCAGTTCTGGATTCTCAGGTGACTCATTTAAGTTGAGGTAGTTCAGATGCCCCTCAGAGCTGAGACTACAGAACTGCAGGAAACATGGCGCTTGTTGGCTGGTGAAGTCATAGGGTAGAAATGATTCCATACATAAAATAAAGAGGCCAGTCATCTGAGCTCTAAAACTGTTTCCACATCTTTTCAGCATGTTCTGCTATCTCATCTTTAATAATCAAGCTGTGGAAAAGAAAACTACTTAACTCCAGAGCTGCAGTCTCCCTGGTGGGTCTGTCTGTTAGCCCCCAGTGCTTTGTAAGCTGCTTAATCAGTTCCTAACATTGGTAGTAGATATTTTAGAAGCAATCAGCAGCTTATCAAGCACCCTCTGGGAAGGAGGGAGGGTAGAAGTCACAATTCATCCATTGATTTAGCAGTTCCCTTTAGCATGTTTCTTTGTGTTTCTGTTTGCAAGACACCTTCTCTTCCCCTGAGGGCCCCAGCCCCAAACTTATCATATTTAGAGGCAATATAATTTGATTACCATTTCTGCTGGGGTGGGTTAAATTGCATTTACCTTTTAATCTAGCTATATCCTTGTCAGCCTGGAGAGGGTTTTCCATATTTCAGAGGCTCCAAATTTGAAACTGGATTGCCTGTTTTCGTCAAAGTGGAACTAAAGTGGAAAGAGGAGGGCGGCTCCATTGAGAAAATTAATCCAACAGCTGGAGAAACACTAATACCCTTACAGCCCCTGACTCCTCCCTGGTTTGCCCCTTACAACTGCTTTCTCCCAGTTGTTCATCATTTTCTACTGACCTGCAGTTTGGGTGGTTTTCTTAATCCTAAAAGTTTCCCCTCTTTTTGATTCTTCTGCTGCCTATTTTCTCATATTCATGGACTGCTTTTGCACTGTGTCCTGCTGTCATGTAGATTGCATGTGTTTGGGGAATTAACTAAAAGGTTTATTAAAGATTAATGGAAAGATAAGGCATGGTGAGTGAATTAGAAAAGCAGAGAGGGGTAATCTGCAGATGTAAGCAACCTTTACCCTGGTTAGTCGCAGCTCAGTTCTGATTTGTTTCCTAGCCAAGTTCTCTTTAGAGATCCTAGAAAACATGGGTCATTTCTTACCAAACAGCTGAGGTCCAAAAATGTAGTATGAGGGTCTGTTCTTAGGTGCAAAAAAGTTGAAATGTCTTTTTGACAGTAGATGAAGCAGCATATAATGCTATTCTAGAATTAAATTTGTTTTAAACTTCCTTCCAAGCTTAAGAGAGCTTCCTGCCTAGACCCTGTGGTTGTGGCAGGTATATACTTGAGCTATCTGATGGTCTGGGGATGGTTGTCACTTGAATCCATTTGGACGGGGTTCTACTGGGTGAGACTTTAACTGTGAGATTAAAAGCAGAGCAGAAAAAAATGAAACAAATTAATTAAGTCCTTAATTTTGGAAACTCACCAAATCCTGGCGAGGTAATGGTTTTGCTAGTGCTTTGCTCAACAAATGCTTGTAGTGCAGATGTGAGTAGGCTTGACCAAAGAGGCAGCAAGTGAAGGTCTTTATTTGCATGTGCATGTTTATTTAAAGTGAACAGAAACACACGCATGTACCCCAGCAAGGTCTCACTGCAGACCAGGGCCCCAGGGACTGCATTAAAGTTTACAGCAAGTCTATCTATGGGCATTCCCATGGGGTACATATTCTTAGAATCCTCTTGTTGTCGGTCGTCGTGGTGGGAGGTGTTAACAGATGAGATAACTAATTAGGTGCATTCAGATGTAACAAGCAGAAACTCAAAATGTGACAGCTTGCCTATTCTGCCCCATTGGCTACACTTGCTTTCCTTTCCAACCCTCGCTGGCGTCATCTGGCCTGCATCACGTATAACACCACTGCATCTCTGTTAGCCAGTTTGTCCAGGGCTATTCCAATGAATTAAAGCTTTAAAGAGGGAGACTTCCAGTTGTTAGGAAGCAAGTATTCACTCCTGAAATTGCTGGTTTTAGCAGGCACAGTACGCTGGAAAAATGGATTTCTCTTATTTATGTGCAGTATAGGCCCTGATGTTGCAGTCACAGTCCAGGGCAGCTTCACCTGAAACCTACTGGGGGTATGAACTCTGTTTTCTGCTGACATGACTAATGGAAGTATCACTGGTTTTGTGGACTTGTGGACACAGTTCATGCAAGCTGGTGTTCAAAACTATCCATTCATTTTGTGTGACTGTGGGGCTGCTTTTGTTGAGACTAACAGCTTTCACACTGTTAAGCATTGGTTTGAACAGAAGCTGACTCAGACAAGACTCTAGTATTTCTTAGGGAAAGTAATTCTTGCTACTTACACTAGATTCCACATAAATGGTACCTTTCAAAGTAAAAGACTCAAAATAGCTGTTGTTCAAAATTCAGGTGCTTAATCCACACAAGAAGGTCACTAATACCTTGCTTGGTTTTTATGTTAAATAGCAAGACATACAAATGTACAAATTTTATTGTAGTGATGGTCTTTACTGTAGAAACATTCTTAAACATGGCCTTTATTTCATCGTGGTTGTTCTGGCCCCAGAAGATATGGTAAAATAAAAAGGATCCATGTAATGTCAAATATGACTGGATGTCAAGGATGGAAATCATGAACAAGATAGGAGATTTAAGAAGACAATTATTTGAAGATTTGTTTACATGGCAACACTAAGGAAAAGAAATGACGTGACAAAATATGGGAATTTAAAATGATGAGTTGAATTACATTGAATCACTGTGTAAATACTGTTATTCAAAATATAAGTGGCTTTCGTTTGGCTTATCTCCATTTACTTTGGAAGCAAAGCGAGCTAAATTATATTAAGGCTATTTTTGTTCTGAATGTGTCTGTCCATAGAGGGATTTAATGTAGTATAATTTATCCATTTTAACATTGTAGATAAACTAATCTGTTGAAATTTAATTAAAACATCCATTTACTTTAGATCAACTTCCCTGACTATCTACCAGTAGGTGAACCTAAACCAATGTGAAGAACAGTGGAGATAAAGGATGAACAAGAGAGCTCTATTCTCACAGTAATATATCACAAGTCATACAGTGAATATGAGATACGCATAAAAACCCTTAATAAAAATGTTTCTTTGCAGAGCACACAGCAAACAGGAGGAACTTAATGCCACAATAACATTACTGAGGCCACAAGTTTATCATCTTTGAGAAGATTAAGTATCCATAATGAGAATGTCCACAGTAATACTACGTAAGATAAAGATTTTATAAGGGTTCAGAACAGACATATTATTTACTGAGGGGATTAGGAAGATGACTTCCCTATTGACAGATGGATCAATGATTTCATCTTCCTCTGACGTAAATAGTACTGATTACAGCGTCCAATAGCGTTTTGGACTACGTGAAGAGTTTGTCTAACAGAAGCATTGCCAATATGAAAATCTCAATGTTTCTGTTCAAGATTTTGTGCAATTAAGGTTCCCTAAGAAAAAATTTTGGGCGTAAAAGTTAACTTCAGTGAAACATCAGTTCCACCTAGTTTGAGCCTCGTATATTGTTAGGAAGCATTAGAAAAACAAAGAAATCATTAGGTCTCGTTCAAATTTCCAGGCTTTGAAGCCATGCTGTACTTCCATCACATCTCCTTTTCCAATGGCAAATGTGAGTCCTTCCTGTACTTTAATGGGCTGAGACGGAGGAGGAGGTGGGAGATGCTCTTTCTAGCATTTTTGTATGTGTAAAACTTAAGGGTTATGTAGACAAGTTGTTTCCTGAGTCACAACATGTGGACTTTTTTTTTATTCTTTACTTGCTGTTTTTTTCAGAAGTAAGACTCTGCTCTGATCACTCAGTCCTCGTGCAATTACTGAGAAATGCTCATCTTAGATTTGTAACATACAGCCTCATGACTTACAAGCCCATCGGTGCTGGTGTCCTTACCGGCAGCTCCTTCTTATTCAAGCATAAAAAGGGTGGGATTTGGTGTCTAGCCTACATGCCTGTGCTGGTGAAAGCCGGTAGTGTGTATGTGGCTATACTGATTGACAAAACTGGGTTTTGGCTAATGTATTTTGAGCTTGCTGTAGTTTTAGAAGTGTTACTGGGATAGGTGCATGACGAACACCGCCCACCCCA